CTTGACATTCTTATTATCTCTCTGATTCTTAAATAAAAAATGTAAGCAGTGGGTGTCCAGAGAGGCATCCGGGAGGGCAGACAAATGGCCTGCCATGGCCACAGCCTGGGGACAGGGCAGAGGCAGGCGTGCCCTCCCCTCTTGGAGCCTGCCTCTGACTCAGGAGTACCCCAGGGGACCCCACAGGCCCGCCCCCTCACCTATTCTCTGACCCCTCAGGTCTGCCCCCACAGGCTGGGAGGGGAGGGCAGGGGAGGCCACCTGGCAGCCGGACACATGCGTCTACCTGCTGCCCTCTAGCCCTGGCATGGGCAGTCACTCTGCAGCCCACCCCACCCCTCACACGGCCTCCAGTGGACCCGTCCTCTTGGCTGTGAGTCTAGGGGCACCTGGGTGGCCCAAGACCACCTTTGGAGCTTCACGGGCCCTGGCCAAAGACCACCCTGCACCTCACACCCACGTGCAACAGAGGTGCTCACGGCCCGGGCCACACCCAGGCCCTGGGAGGACAGGGAAGCAGGCAGCACCCAGGCCAGGGCTACTCCAGGCAAGCCCACAGGGCAAGGGACATTTCTCCAGAGTCTCCTGGGACACCTGGCTCTCCATGGTGGCAGCACTGAGGGCTGGAGAGGGAGCAGCCCCCTGATGGCCAGCCTGGTGGGTGTGGCCCAAGAACCCAGGTTAGGGGACACAGAGAGGGGTCTCCGAAGGGATGTGGCTGGCCCAGTGACCCCAAGTCCCATCCGTACAGGGCCTGTTTGCAAGCTTGGAAATGAGCTGGGGCATTGACCATCACTGCTCAGTGGGGATGGCAGGAGTGCCCCCGACAGCCCCCACCCTCAGCCCCCAGCCCAGTGCTGGCAGAAGGGTTCGGGTCTCCTTACTCCCAACCCCCCACCCCTGGGCAGGACGGGGAGAGGCAGGGGCAGCCCCTCCCCACTGCTCCAGGCTCTTTAAGGCCATCTGGGTGTCATGGCAACACAGGCAAGAAGCGGCTTCCATGGCAACCAGAGTCCAGGGAGGCACAGTGCCTGGCAACGGGGCCACGGCCCCCCCACAACACTCTCTGGCTGGCCACACTTTCCGCCCACGTGGCCAGGAGTTCCGGCTTCTGGCCAGGGCCCCGACCTGATGCAGACTGGGCCCCTCTCTCACGGACATCCCGGAGCCCAGAGTGGACACAGACCCCCAGGCCCACCCCAACCCCGGACACCGATGTGCAGGGCACTCGGCTCATGTTGGCCTGTCTGACCCGTGAGTGGGAGACCCGCCAGGGCTGCGGGTCCAGGGCACCCGCTCTCCCTCTGAGAGGTCCCCACGGGGCCTTCTGCACTCAGGGCCACACAGGAAGGACATAGGGAGGGGTAAGGAAGGTTTCTGGGAGGAGGGGGGCTCTGAGAGACCAGCAAGCCTTCTGGAAGGGCACGGCCTGGGGAAAGGTGTGGGTGCTTTGGGAGTGTGGGGTCCCCAGGCCGAGAAGGGAGGTGTCCTTGGTAGATGGTGGCGGGAGGACACCAGGAAGTGTGCCTTGAGGTCACTCGGGCTCATGGCCTTGCCTGGTCACCCGGGTGGGGTTGAGGACCCCACCTGGCTGTCCACCTGTGACCTGTTGTCGTCATTACAGGGATCACCAGTCTCCATGAAGACCTCTCCCCACTGAGCATCCCAGGTACCTGCTGGGTGCCTGGCACAGACAGCAGGATGCGGGACCCCGCCCCCAGCTCTCCATTCCAGGCCACTTTGCCTCTGGGGTCCTCTGAGAGGCCTTCCTTAGCCATCCCCAAGTCACCGCGTGGGGTGAGCTGAACGCCTCCTGAGACCCGTAAGACTCCTGTGAGGAAACAATAGGGCAGAGGCCTGGGAGGGCCCTGGAGCTGCCACCTCCCCTGGTGGCTGAGTAGATGGCCAGCTGGGCAGCTGGGGGCAGTGCAGAGGCAGCTGGTGCAGGCCCCAGGCTCTTCCCATCTTGCTCATGCCCAGCCAGAGCCTGCTGGTATTGGGCCACACAGGCACCGTCCCCCGGCCCTAGAAACACAGAGGGACATCCTGCAGCCAGGGCCACAGTGTCCAGCTAGGCATAGCCTGAACTGCCTCCCCCAGTGGCTCCTGCTATGTGTCCATCCCACGTGGCAATCAGCAGGAGAGAGGCCACTGGCAAACAAGGATCCTCGAGAAACTTCTTGGGACAGAAAGTGGAGCTGCCCCAGCAGGACGGCACGGGTGTCAGTGAGGCAAGGGCAGAATGGGACAGTCCAGAGTAGCCTGCAGTGACCTCCCCATTGCTGTGAGGGAGACAGCATTCTGAATAGTCAGGGCAGGACAGCAGGCGTCAACGGGCACCGTCTTGGCAGTGCCTCCAATGTAGCCCCCACTCCAGACCTTAGAACCTCAGTGGGAAATGCCTCCCTTCCAGGGGCCTGCCTGCCTCCCTTACAACTAGAAATAGAAAAGAAAGAAAAGCCAGACACTTGAGGACAGTGACTACTGGGAAGTCCCAAGACAAGACAAACAAAAAAGAACCAGAAAGGGAAGAGAGAAAATACAGAAAGCAAAAGATTCTCCTCTCCCCAAAACCCACTTGATCCCTAAAGCAGAACAGGATGCTCTGAAACGAGAACAGGAGGCACTTGAGGAACAGTAGAGATGGCTTGGAAATTAAAAACATGACTGCTGGAATTCAAAATGATTTAAAAAAAAAAACAGAGCGAGAGAGTGCGTGTGTGTGATGATTCAAGGACATCTACCTACAAGTAACAAAGACAGGTAGAAAAAAGGGAAGAACTCATAAGCTCGACCAAAAGGCCCAACATCTGACTACTGGGGGTGGGGGTCCAAGACGAGCAGCGTAAGAAGAAATTTTATCCAAGAAATGTGAGCCTCAGAGTGGAACACGCCCACCAAGTGCTAAGGAAACACCCTCAGCCATCACGAACTCCCAGAGCCGTGGGGGTCAGAGAGGGCCCCAGCACAGCCCACCGTCGAGGACCTCCAGGCCAGCCTTACATTCCCAGGGGAAAATGCCCTCGGACCTGATTCCCTCCCCAGCCCAACGTCCAGCAGGCATGAAGTCAGTTAGATGTTTCCAGACCTGTGATTCCCAGGTGACAGTCCAAAACTCAGCAGTGAAAACAACCATGATTTAGCCTGGGCTTGGTGGCGTGTGGTCTGAGACTTGGCTGGCCCTGGGGCCAGCTCTCTGGGGGTCTTGCAGGGCCGCGTCCCCCATCGTCAGGCAGCTGGGGGGACGGGATGGGATGACCTCTCATCTTGCTGCCCAGCCTGGGCCTCCCCTCGGAGGGGCCCCCAGAGCCTCGGAGAGAGGTGGAGGCCCAAGGCACAGGCATCTTGCAAACCTCTGCCCCAGACAGCTCAGTTACAGCCCACGGGCCAGAGTGGCTCCAAGTCTGCCAGAGCCCCAGGTGCAAAGGGACTCGCCTCTAGGGAGGAGACAGAGTCACCTGCAGAGACCAAGGACGTCGGGAGGAGGGCTGGGTGTTTCCACCACATCAGGGCTGAGCCAGCTTCTTGAGGATGTGGACTGAGGATGTACTTCCGAGAGCAAGGAGAGAGCCGAGACAGAGGACACAGGGGCTCCGGGCCTCCAGGGGGAGGCAGGACCCTCGGCATGTGGCGTGTCGGGAAGAAGGAACTAGAAACGAACCAGGGACTCAAGTCTGGCCCCAACATCGAGTGCTCCGCAGTCGCCAAAAGCCCCCCAAAGTGGTGAAGAGCAATCTGGAACCTGGTTGCCTTCGGCAAGGAACTAAAGGTCTTCATGCCTCGGTTTCCCTACCCACAAACAGAGGATAATAATGGCAATTCAATAAATAGCTAAAAAATAATTTTAAAAAAAATCTCAGAGATACATTAGGTTAAAAAAAAAAAAGCCAGGCTGTAGGGCTATCTCTCCTGTGTGGCGGGGCAGGGCCAGGGGCAGGGGCATATCGGGCTGCGCAGGGGATGGGCAGCCCGCGCCGGGAGGGGCTTGCAGACGGTGCTCTTGGCAGGGACGAGAGACGGGGCTGGGAGAGATGCTCGTTCTGGACACCACATTTGTTCTTGATTGTTTTTTGCACTCTGAATGTGTGTATGTTTTACATTTTAAGAAAAATAGCCACTGGCAGGGGGTGGAGAGGGGAAGAGCAGAGGGAGGTGACCAGGTAGGGTGACCTCAGGACTAGAGCCAGCGGGAGGGGCCCAGCACCTGGCTCTGGCCACAGCCCGGCCCATTGTGACCTCCCTAGCTGCACCCACCTTTGTGACGGTAGCCTGGGGCAGCCTGGGAGCCAGTGGGACCCCAGAGTGTCCTCAGTAAGAGGGTGGCAGGTCGGGCCAGGCCAGAGCCTGGACCTGGGGTCAGGAAGGGGTTGCAGGGAGGGATGGAGGGGCCAAAAACCGTGTGCCCCTGTGGCCACCCCCACCCCCCATGTGCCCCAGCCCCAGCCTCGAGTGGCCACGGAGGATGCCTGGACCAGCCCTGCCAGGGATTTGTAAGGTGGCCCTGCCTGGTCCCCCTCACCTCCAATCACTCAGTGGAGTCTGAGAAGCCTTTCCCAGCCCCAGGGGCAGGGGGTGGGGGGCCCAGGGTGGGGGGTGAGTCTCCTGTAATCTTCCTCTCCTGCGAAGAGGGAGAGATGCCACAGCAGAGAGCAAGAGACCCCACGGGGCCGAGACAAGAAGTGGGGGCAGGGCTGGCGTGGGGCTGGCCCCTGCACCCAGGCCGAGAGCAGGGGGCTCCCAGGCAGGGCCCTGCCCCCAGCTCGGGGCCCAGACTCTGCCCATGCCCGCCCCTGACGCCCGGGGCTGGGGCCCCAGCCTCACCTAGGGCGGCCCCCTCCCCGCTCCAGTGCCAGCCACTGGGGTCTGCAGAACAGTCCTTTCTGCAGCTGGAGCAGGAGAACCACAGCCTGGTGAGCCACTGCCTGGGCGGCGGGCCACGCCCTCCTCCAGGGAGCGGCTGTGACAGGCGCCCCCTCTCTGTCTCTCACCCCCAGAAAAGGCAGAACCAGGACCTTCGGGAGCAGCTGGGGGCCCTCCTGGGGCCGGGGCAGCAGTTCCTGCCCCTGTGTCCTGAGCACTCCAGCTGCACAGCCCTGGCCTGGGTAAGTGCGGCGTGGTGGGCCGGGGGGTGTGGCCCTGGGACCCCATGCAGCACACCCCATTAGTCCATGGCCACTCAACTAGGGGCTCTCCCATAGCCCCCTGAGCCAGCCGGCACCCAGCCCCTGGAGGAGCGGGCCCCTCTGCAGCTGCTGCGGCAGGAGCTATGCCAAGGGCACGAGGCCTTCGTGCAGCAGTCCCAGGTGGGCTTGGGGCAGGGGCTTCGGGGGAGGGGCCTCTGTGCAGCAGTCTCAGGTGGGCCTGGAGGAGGGGCTGGCCACCCTGCTGTCCCTCCCCCAGAACGAGCTGCAGCAGATCCGATTGTCCTTTGAGAGGAAGAAAATGGCCATCACCGAGGTGCCCGCCTGGCTGGGGTGGAGGTGGTGCTAGGGACCCTCCTGGCGGGTGCCGCTCTGCAGGTGTGACCCTGCCTCCCCTGCCCCCAGGTGTGGGATGGCGTGGCCGAGGTGCACATGGCCCTGAACAACCAGGCCACTGGGCTCCTGGTAGGTCCCCTACGGGCAATCCCCACGAGATGAGGGGTGAGGGTGAGAGGCAGGGAGAGTGGCAGGGGTCAGGGGACCTGCCTTACCTACCCCCTCTGCCCCCCAGAACCTCAAGAAGGACATCCGGGGCGTGCTGGATCAGATGGAGGACATTCAGCTGGAGATTCTGGGGTGATGTGAGGGGCCCGGACGGGAAGCTGTCCTGGTCAGGATGGGCTGGACCCACCCTTGAGCCCCAGCTCTGTGGCACCAAACCAGTGAGTGGGTGGTGCCAGGCTGGGGGGTATGGGGGCGTCCTGACAGTGTGGCCCCCCAGGCAGCGGGCCCAGTGCCGCGCCCAGGCCAGGAAGGAGCAACAGATGGCGTGCATGGCGGTGAGCCCCCACTCAGCACCCCTCCAGCGTGGGGATGGCCCCCACGGGCCCCGCCGGGGAAACAGGAGAAACAGGCTCAGGGGCAGGCCGGGGGTGGGGGCGGTGATCCCAGGAAGCAGAGATCAGAGCCGTCTTGGCAAGTGGCTTCAGGAGCCTCTCGGGGGAGGTGGGGTACAGCAGGGGAATCCCTGTCCGTCGCAGGTCCCCTGACCCAGGGACCTGGCCTCAGCCCGGCCCTCGGAGCAGGCTCTGACCTGGCCCCTCCCCGACAGAAAGGGAGGCCACAGCTGGGATGTTCCGAGGGCCTCACGGGCCAGCTCTGGTAGGTCACTGAGCGGGCAGAGCCCACCCCCGGACCGTCCCCACGGGCACCCCCTGCCCCTGACCGCCACTGCCCACAGGCTGCTTGCCCTGAGGCTGCTGCTGGGCACCCTGCTGGCCTGCACCGCCGCCTATGTGTATGTGGTGGACCCCGCGCCCTTCGAGGGGCTGGTGCCGCCCCTGCTGAGCCGTGCCGCCGTCTGGAAGCTCCGGGCCTTGCTGGGCCCCTTTCTGCGCCTCGAGGTGGACGACTTCCTGCCCTTTTAGGCGGGAGGCCCAGTAGCCCCAGCGAGAAGGAGGTCTGGTGGCCAGCGCTGCCCCGGCTGCCCAGTGGCTGTGCCAGCCCCAGCCTGTGGTATTGCCATGCACAGTCCCCACCAGGAGCTGCGGAGAAAGGTGGAGGTGGGGTCTGCCCTGAGGGCTGGGCCTGCAGCTGGACATAGAGTCATGACACTCAGGGCCTGAGAACTTGTCTCCATGGAAACAGAGGGGTGGGGGGGGTTGACGCCTTCTGAGACACCTGGTGGATGTGGCAGTGGGGGTCCCTCCACAGGGCACCAAGCCCCAGGGGTATCGCAGGAGGGTCTCCACTGCGGCAACAGCACAGTGAGGTCCCCCTGGGCCAAGCTCCCACCGGGGACCTCAGAGATCAGGTTCTCAGCCCTGAATCTGCTCAAGCCTCTCATGGAACCCCTGTCCCCACCTGGCCACCACCCCCACCCTGTCCCATCCTCTCCCCAGCCCCTCTCCAGCCCCTCATGTAGCTCCTCGTCCCTGCGCAGCCACCGCCCCCTCCACCCCATTCCCCTCCCCTCCCCGGCCCAGGCTCCTGTCAGTGCCCAAGGCTCAGGCGAGGAGACCACATTGATAGACAGCTGTGGAGGTAAACACCAAAAATTTTATTTGGGGAATTGAATTGGGGGTGGTACCCTTTAGAACAATAGAGAATAGCTTTGTGGCTTTCTTGTCCCAAAATGGGAGAAATAGAGCCCTGCCCAGAGTGGACCCCGGGACAGGGACCCTGTGCAGAAGGGCTAGCCGGGATACCACCCTGCCCTGTCCCAGGGCGTCCAGGCCAAGCTGGCCTGGGGGCCGCAGGGCTATGGGCTGCGGACCCCCTGAGCTCCCAGGTGCATCATCTCTGGGTGCAGGTGGCCCGGGGGGCCAGGGCAGAGTTGGCCAGGGGGACTTGGCGGGCAGGCAAGGGGGTCAGCGGCTCACCAGGCTGGCGGCTGCAGGAAGTTAAGGCATCTGTTCATGTGCTGGGGACGGGGTCAGGGGAGTGCAGTGACCTGCGGGGGCAACCTGAGACCCCTCCAGCCCAACCCGAGCCCCGTAGGGAGGAAGTGGCTTAGTCTAAAGTGCTTGTTGGGCACGGAGGCAGGGGTGGAGGTCCTGCTAGTCCCAGCAGCTCCAGGGCCGCCCTCTTGGGGTGTTGGACCCCCTGCAGCAGGTTGGGGACTTCCTGAGGTCACATGGACACAGGGTCACGGGCCCGGGCGGGCTGGGAATCAGTCAAGATGCGGCTGGTGGAGAACAGACACCCAGCCCACACCCAGCCCTGCCCCAGGGTCCACGGCAGCCTGGCCTCCTAGGTCCCCAGCCGGGCTGTCTACTTGGCGTCCTGCTAGGGGCCCGAGAGGCTGGGGAAAAGGCTGGATGCAGCCAAGTGCAGGCGGCACATGGCCCCGCGGGGGGGTGCCCCGGCAGCCGGGCTCCAGGGGGCCCGCAGTGGCGGGCGGTCCTCAGGGCGGCCAAGGTGGCACAGGTGCAGCCCGGGGGGCACCCTGGGCGGGCCACGCCGCCCCCATCCACGGCTGCAGGTGCCGATCCGCCCCCTGCGGGCCGTGGCGACCATGAGAAAGAAGCAGAAAGGTGGAGGTCAGCTTGGGGCAGATCTGCACACGGAGGCTCAGGGCACCTCGCTCTGGGTCCCAGAGCCCCACACACCTCCCAGCCCCTCAGCCCTGAATGTGTGGATTCCCAATACTCCCCAGCCTGGCCGCTGGCATTTGGCAGGCAGGAGAGAGTTCCAGCAAGGGCAGCAGCGGGTGCCCTGTGCACCCATCCCATCTCCCCCTTGTTCTTGGGTTCCTGGGTTCCCTCGGGGCAGCGCAGCCCCGCCATTCCCCAGACACTCCATTACTGCCAGAACAATGCAGACCCAGCGTGAGAGATGCTCACGTTTGCCAGCTCCCGCCTCCCGGGCCTCTGACTTGCTCAGGTTGGCAGAAACACCCAGAGGAACCCGTGCACGCCAGCCAGCTGGCCACCCCAGCCCCGAGCCTCTGCAGCAACAGCCCTGGCCTTGCCCAAGGAAAGAATCAAAATGACTCTTTTTCTTTTTTTTAATAAAATTATAGATATATAGATGTAGATACAAAAACATAAAACAGACACAACGCAAGCGGACGCTGTCGTGTGCTTACTCTCAGGTCCCCGACGCCAGGGGAAGCACTGACCCCTCCCCGATGTGCTTTCCACGCGGCGCACACCGCCGCTGGGCCAGGGCTGGGGGCTGGCATGCCAGGGGCAGGGACACTCCAGTCTGGCAGGGAGGGCCTGAGGGCCAGGGAGAGGGCTCCGGGTGTCACCCGCCCCTGTGGCAGCGTCGCCCGCGCCGGCTCCTGCCTGCCCTCTGTCGCCTCCCACAAGAGCATAAAGCAGCGGTTAAGGCTTCAACGAAGGGACGGCGGCGGCTGGAGCACTAACACATCGGACATGGCACAGCAGCTCAGCACACAGACATGGGGACATGCGCCCGCTGGCCGGGCAAGACGGGACACACAGAGCTGGGACCCCTGCCACAGCTGGCTGGCTGTCCGTCTGTCCACCCGTCTGTCACAACCAGGAGTAGACGAGCATGGACTCCCTGCAGAAGCACCGGCCCTGCCAAGCTACACGTCTCCAGTGGGTCCGTGAAAGGCAACGCATTAGGAGCAGCCTGGCGGGGGAGGCTGCGTTGGGAGGGTGGTGGGGCCCCAGGGACCCATCTGTAAGGGGAGTGGGTGGGGCTGTGGGATGCTGTGGGCTGGCCTGGCTACAGCCCGGGGCAGACGGCTGACGGGACCCAGCTGCACAGACCTGCAGCCCGGCAGCCCTGGGCCCAGCCTGGCCGGGGTCCTGCGCACCCCGGGAGCAGACAAGTGGATGGACAGGCGGAAGGCTTGGGACAAGCTGTGGAGGCGTGGCACTCGCTCCTGCTGATGTGTCCACACCGGCCGAGGTGGCCTCCTGTCCCTGGGGCAGAGAAGTCGGTGGAGGGAGGGCCGCTGGGGGCCCTGGTCCCCGTGGCGCCACGGCCGATGGGTGGTGGTCAGTCCTCACACCGAGATCTCGTACGTGGTTCCACCCACGCCGGACACCTTCTTAACCAGCGTGTGCCGGGTGGGGCTGGCGGAGGGCCCTGGGGGGCCAGAGACAGGCCCCAGCCTGGCCAGGCCTGGGGACTGCCCGTTAAGCTTACTTGGGGGGGTCTTCAGCTGAGGGTGGTCCCTGCATCAAAACAAGCACATACACGCACGCACAGGGTGAACACAGGACCACGCAGACCACATGGGACAGGACGGCAGAGACAACAGGACAGAGACGAAGCAGATGTGGACTGGAGCCTTGGCTGGCCCGGCCCCATGTCATGGGGCCCCAGGCAAGCCCTGCCCTCCTTTCTGAGCTTAGAATGTCTCACTTGGAGAGCGAGTGGTGGGGGCAGAGCCTGCCCAGGGAGGGGCTGAGCTGTCACAGGGCAGACAAACATGGTCGGAACTGCCACCGGCCTCCCAGTTCCTCGGTCTCCCCAGCCGGCACTGGCTTAGCCACTGGACCGAGAGCCCTGGGCCCCATCATACCGTCCTGGTCCCTGGGTGGGGAGCCCGGTGGTGACCCTGTCCGGCAACCCCTTGGCTCCTGCCTGGGGAGCCCCTCACCCCCTGGCTGCTGTCCACTCATCGCATAGCTGCCACCCTCTGGGTCTCAGGCTCTCACCCACGACGGCAGCCCCTTTGTGGCCAAGTGGCCCAGGCAGGGGTCTCCCCCAGAGAAGTCGTCTGCCGACAGGAAATAACGGAGCCTGTGCTGGGGCTGCAGAGCCCAGATGGGGAGATGCTTTGAAGGCCCCACATTCTCTGTCACAAGGCCTGAACCAGCCTGCTGTCTCTTGGCCTCGGTTTCCCCATCTATGAGCAGGGAAGCCCCTGCCTCTGGAGCCTACATGCCACACGGAAGACCAGGGCATGGCACCTAGGGCAGCATGTTTTGCTGCAAGGTGCTGTCGCCAGCCTCAGAAATGCAGCACAGCAGTCCCAGGAAAAGCCCTGAGTGGACAAGCACAGTGGCCAGGAGGGACAGAGTCATAGCCAGAGGACGCCTGAGCTGCCATGTGGCACCAGCCCCAAAGGAGGCAGCCCCAAGCAACACCCCCCTACCCCTATGCAGTGTTTGTGCTGGCCCTGGGAGAATGAGACACGGGGCTCAGCATGCAAATCTTCCTATTCTGTCCCTAGGGTGTGCCCAGGGTGTCCCTGGAGTGGGGCCACCCTCACATAGGCCAGCCAGAGGCCTCACGGCAGGATGAGGCCCACCCTCCCTGCCCTGTCCCTGGAGTCAACCACAGGCCTCTCAGATGACCCACGAGAGCCCAGCGAAAAAGGGCCCTGAGGCAGCTGCGTGGCTGCTCTGCGCCAGGAAGCCCACCCACACCTCCAGGCACCCACCTTTGCATGGCCAGCGAGGGCGGCGGCTCAGGGAGGTCCGTGTGGATGAAGGCGACGGCCTTGGGGCCTGAGAAGGAGGGTGAGTGGGGAGTGCCAGGCGGGGAAGGCAGACCCTGGCGCACAGGCGACCTGTGCGAGCCACTGCCAGGCCGGGTCCCCACAGCGTTGTTGTTGGCCTGGTCAGCTTGCAAGGAGGAGGAGGATGTCCGCGGTGCCCGGCTCACAGAGCTGGACAGCGAGGACAGCGACGTCTGCAGGGCAGGGTTGCGGGCGCCTCCAAAGCCAGGCCCAGCCACGAGGTCATCCCTGGAGCCGTAGCGCAGCACGGGGCCACGGGGGCCCTCGGATAGCACGCTGCCCTGCTGCAGGCTGTAGGAACTGGGCGCATCGTAGACACCTGAGTCGCCGAAGAGCGAGTCAGCCTGGGAGCGCAGAAGCCGCTCGCGTTCCTCCCTGTCCTTGCGCTCCTGGATAGACGCCATGATGGTCCTGGACAGGTTGTCATAGCGCACAGGCGAAGGCTCCCGTGGCCGGGGGCCCAGCACTGGGCTGAAGCTGCGGGGCGGGGGCCGTGGCGGGTCCGCAGCCCCAGGGTGCAGGTAGGGCGAGCGGTAGCTGGCCACGCCAATTGAGGGGTGGGCCGGGCAGACATGGCTGCCAGGCGAGCCCGGGTTGAGCAGGCTGTCATAGGAGAGGCTGCCATTGCGGTTGGGCAGCGCGTGGGGGGCGAAGATGCTGTGGCGGGGCGTGGGAGGCCCACCCTCGGAGCGCAGGGGCTGCAAGGCCATGTGGTCCCCGCCCCTCCGGCCTGTGGCCTTGAGGCTCAGGGAGCGCAAAGCACCCGAGAAGGCATCAGAGGCGCTGAGTGGCGGGGATGGTGGGTAGGCTGCGTGGAGGCCGCTGGGGCCGTAGTCAGGGAGGTCAAGGCTGGGCTCAGACACAAAGTCCAGGCTGTGGATGCTGTCATCCCCCAGGGTCAGGGAGTCAGGGCCTGGGACCTGTGGGGTGAGCAGCAGTCTCAGCACTGCCAACCCACCACCCTGCCTGCAGACGCCAGAACCGTGTGCCCATGGGAGGCTGCAATCCCAGGGACGGTACCTTAGCAGCAGGTGCAACCCACGCACAATTCAAAATACTCCTTTGGCCACGCCCACCTCTCCTGGGCCCACTTCAGAGGGAAGCCAGGGCAGAGTGGAGCGGCATGGCAGGCCCCAGAGTCCCCCAAGGGAAGACCTGGCAGGCCTGCTGCTGTCCACATTCAGGTGGGGAGGAGGGAGCATGTGGGCCACACCCAGGACAGCACCATGGCCCCAAGGACTGAGCCTTGAGGAGCCCTAACAATGGCACGATGACCTCGGCCCCTGTCCCCAAGCACCCCATAGCTGTGGGGCGGGGGGCTCTGCAGCATATAGCCAGAGCAGGCTGCTGTAGACACCCAGGGCTGCGCCCTCAAAGCCCACTCAGCCCAAGGGGCCCCTCAAGGCATCCACAGGGAGGAGAGACCTCTTCCAGCACTGTGACTGGGGCACGTGGGCTTGGGCTGGAGACAAAGCCTCAGGAACCTCAAAACCCAAAGGGGATGGAAGCAAAAGTGGCCTCAGTGCACTTGGCCAAGCAGACCAATTCCTCCAAGGATCCAGGAGAGCCCCAGGAAGGAGGTGACTGTGGGGACCCCCAAGCAGGACTGACCCTCCTGGGTGGCAGGGCCACCACACACCTGCCGGGCTCAGACCCTCACCCAGGCAGGCCCAGACTCACTGCCCACCCAATGTCCCCAGAGGAAGGGTGGGGCAGGATGTGGGCCCCGAGGGGAGGGGTCCCCAGGGTGGGGCCTGGCCACAGGCCTGCCTCTCATGGTAGCCCTTAAGGAGGGACAGTGCCCTGGGAACACCCAGGGTTGTGGACCATTCCGTAGGCCACCCAGTACTGCTGGCCACATCACAGTGACCACAGAGTCGTCACACGACTCAGGGAGGACGAATGCGCTTTCTCGAGCAAATCTCAAATTCCTCTGAAGCCTTCTGTGGGCCTCACAGTGGCCCCGGGTGGAATTCCAGGCATCCTGCACACACTGCTCCCAGGGGCAGCCACCCACCGGGCTAGGGCAGTGCCAGCCAAGGACAGATGCTGGGCCAGGCCTGTCTGCACCAGCCCCTCCCAGGACACCCCATCCTGCTCGCCTCCAAGGGCCCCCACAGTTCCCCAGGTGGGTGGGGCCTCTGGGGCCGGGGCTGGGGCCTAGATAGGGCGGGGCCTCCGTGGCTACGGTTCTGGGGCAAGGGCCTAGATAGGGCGGGGCCTAGTAGATCAGGGCCAGGCCTCCTCACCTGCTCACCCGGCCCGCAGAAGGGTGACTTGGGCCCAGTGGAGAAGGCTGGCCGGAACTTGTACATGGCAGGTGTCGGGGGGCTGGTCCTCTGCACCGACAGGGTGCTCTCTGGGGCGGTGGACAACTGTCAGCCTAGGGCTGGACCGGGGTTAGTCCATTCCCCCTGACCCCACGCCCGTCTGGCTTCCCCCACCTCACCAGCGCTGCCTGGGCGCGGCGTCTGCAGGTCGCTGCCAAATGTGCCGGCATCTATCTTGGGGGGCAGTGGCGGCCCCAGGTCTAGCGGCTTCTCATCCAGCCCGTCCAGACTGCCCTTGGACTGGGAGGGGGTGAGTCAGTGGTGGGCAGGGCTTGGATGAGGGGTTGGGGGTAACTAGGGATTCCTTCTTGCCGCCCTGAGACCTAGACCCTTCCCCAGAATCCGCCCTTCGAGGCCCCTCCAGCCTGTCTGCGTCCCCCCTCTACAAGAGCCTGCCTTCCCCCACCACCCCCATCCCAGCCCAGGTCCCCACCTTGCTGCGGCCCAGGCCGGCCTTCAGCCCATTGTCACTGAGCTTGACCTTGAGCGGCGCAGCTCGCTCCAGGAGCTCAGGCCGAAGGAAGGGCGGCTTCAGGCTCACGGCAAGTGGCAGCCGGGGCGGCTCCACTATGTATCTGCACCAGGGCAGAAGGGTCAGTGGCCAGGCACCTGCCGTGAACACACAAGGGCAGGGCCCGCCCCACCTGGCAAAAGCCGAAATGGGCCAGGCTGAAGGACTGGGGCTGCCCACCCATCCCCGGCAGAGACCCCTGTGCCACCCTGCCCCCGGGCCTCACCGGGGCGCCAGGGGGCTGCATAGCACGTGCTCCACGTTCCCACAGCAGCCTCGGGTGAAGGGGTTCACGCCCCCGCGGAACTTCCCCGTCACCTGTGGACATGGGACCCTCAGCCAGCCTGGCCACCCAGACATGGGGGGGTGGCTGGGGCTCCTCAGAAGCTGATCCTTGTGGGAGGTGCTTGGGCAGAGCCAGCGCAGGGGTGCCCCTCACTCAGGTCACCCTGGCCTGGCCCTGAGTCACCAGTGGCAAGTGTCCGCGGACAGGGAGTGTGCAGGGGGCAGGGCAGGAGTAGAGGCCCCTCCCACCACAGCTGCACAAGCCACCTCGGGTAAGGGTTCTCCCAACACTGTCCCCAAGCAGCCGCAGCCCTCTCGGCCCACTGAGGAACACCCCTGTCCCCCAGCAGGGTCTGCACCTGCTCGTTGGTGGTGCGCCCGCGAGTGACCAGCACCACGTGGAAGCCAGTTAGGCCGATGACAGGGATGAAGAAGAGGCCGGCCACACACATTACAGCCATGCTAGCCTGTTAAGGCCAATGGCACAGGCGAGGACACAGGAGACACCCTCACAGTGGCACAGAGCAGGTGCCTTGGACAAACACCTGCCCCTGCCCACCTGGGGATGGTGACCCATTCGCTAGGGATCCCTGGGCAGCCACCCAACTCCCGTGAACCTCAATTTCCCCTGTAAAATGTGTTCCCTGCCCACACTGCCTTTGTGACCAGGCACACAGAGACCAAGGATACGTGATGGTCGTGTGAGCAGCGCCCAGTCCCTCTGCATGGTTCAGCACGTAGACCAGGCCAAAGGCTACGACGCCCACCATGTGTGCACTGAGCGACAGCAGGAACAGGAAGAAGTAGCGGTAGTTGCGGCGCCCAATGCAGTTGTTGACCCAGGGGCAGTGGTGGTCAAAGTCCTGAGCAGGAGTAGCGCATCAGGGTGCGCGGCAGGCGGGGATGTGGTGTGGGGCTGGGGGGAGTGCAGGGGAGCGGGTTGGTCACCTCTACGCAGTTGTCACAGACGCTGCAGTGGGAACAGCGCGGTGGGCGGTAGAAGTGGCACGTGGCACACCACTTCATGCGGACCTGGATGCCTCGCACGTCCACGTTTTTGTATAGCGGGGCTCGGAAGTCATCCTCCTTGTCCTCGTCCTCATCCGCTGCAGACCAGGGGCCAGGCAGAAGGTGACTTTCCCAACAGGAGAGCCCCTCCCCAATCTCTGCACAGCCCACTCACTGGGAGCCCCCAGGGTGCTCCCCATCAGCCACTCACACTCAAGCAAAAATGAACAAATAAGCTGCCCCAGCACAGGGCCCTACCTCGGGGGAAGACGCCAGGGTCCATGAAGGTGGCCATGCTGAAGTTGGCCAGGACAAAGAGGAAGATGATGCCATTGTAGACAGGAACGGCTGGGGACACAGCTCGTGTCAACCATGGGCACCTGCAGTGGGCAGTAGGGTGATTGTGGGGGCTGGGGTGTAGAGGGGTGCAGGAGCATGTGTGCGGGCTGGGCCTGCAGGGCCACCACCAGTGCTTGGCAGGCATGGGGGAGGATGCTGCGGGCCCACCAGGAGACTCGGCCACGCCTCTGCTCAACCATCAGGGGCCCTGCACATCCTGCATGGCGTGCAGACACCCCCAATGCCAGCTCTGACCCAGCACCCCCCCGGGCGGACGTCTGTAACACAACTCACCGTGGAGGGAACTGAAGCTCAGAGGCCACGGGCCTGGGGTCGCACCATTTAAGAGGGGTGCCCAGGGCCAGGACACATACACCCTCCCACCCCAGCGGACTCTCTGGGCTCCTGTCCCGTGGGGGCACATACTGGGGGCGGGAGCATCAGATGGGAAACACGCCTGCAGTGCCTGTGTGCTATGGTGGACAGAGGACAGCGACTTGCGGGGCAGCTTGGGCCAGCCGAGGCCTCACCCAGCCCAGCAAGGCCCCGTCACCAGGGAGATTTGGGGGTGTGAGGAGCCCCCATCCTGGGTCAGTAAATGCACAGGAGTTGTCCCCCCACTCTGCATGGAGGGGCAACCCCCGTCCTGCCAGCCCCTTCTTTTAGTGAGTTTGTCACCTTACTGCCCAGATGGCAGCACAGAACACTTCAGGGACTGGAGACACACACGCCCCACACACACACCTCCCCATCTCACCACCCCTCAGCACCTAGCTCCAAGGCCGCCCCCTCTCCCGGGAAGCCTTCCAGGAGTCCCCTCCTTAGTCTCTCTGTATGAAGCTCGCACACCTCCCTGAAAAGTGCCTTCCTCAGCCCTCACAGGGCCTGGCCAGAGGCCTCTCCCGGGAAGCCCACCGGTCCCTAGGCCACGGAGCCTACAGCAGGGCCCTAAATGTGCCCACTCGGCTCCCAGGAAGCCCCTCGGCCCTCAGACTCCCCATCTCTCCCCGGGCCCCAAACCTTGCTCCTGTGCCACGCAGCAGAGCACACAGAGGTTCGCGCTCCTCCTCGCACCCAGGCTGCCTGTGGAGTTGGGGCCGAGGGGCTGCCAGAGGGGACAGGGCCCACGCACTGCCCACCACCCAGTGCACGCGGCCACGCTGCTGCACCCACACCAGCCTTGGCTGGGAGCCGGCCCCGCCACCCCGGCAACCACCTCCACGGCAGCAGAACTTCGCTATTTTTAGTGGAAAGTGAGAGGCTATTTAAAGATCCCGCTTCCCACGGCAGCAACCCTCAGCGGGGCCAGGAGCCGCGTGTTACCCTGCGTCTCGCCCAGAGCCGGCCCGTGGAGGTGGACGCCCGGCATGAGGACACGGGCTGCAGCCTCGTGGCTTCTTCTGCCGGGAGGGCCTTCCCCACCCTCGCCCCTCGGCCCAGCTCGCAGCCTTCCCTCCACCCTTCCAGCCCTGCCTGGCGTACAGGCCATACTCAAAACGTGTGCACGCCCGCAAAGCCACACTGTCAGCAAGGACGGTGGGCCCCTGAAGCATGGCCAGCACAGCAAGGCGGGATACCAGCAGGTGAAACACACCCGGGAGAGCAGCCTGGCCCTCCAGGCAGAGGTGGGGCCCGCGGAGCTGCCCACGGCACCTCCCGGCGAGGGCTGTGCAAATGAAAATGCAGCCCCTTATTTAAAAAACATTAGGAATTTCAAGACATCGATAAAAGAGCATTAAACCAAGCACAGACCCCATGGTGCCTGTGGAGCCAGCCTGCTCTGGGAGAGGAAGGGGCCCCGGGCCGGCAAGGATGGGCCAGACGGAGGGCGGGCACGGGGCCACCCCCACCCTGCATGGTGCACATGTGCTTGGCCTGCCAGGGCAGGAGGAGGGGGGATGTCCATCCTTCCCAGGTTACGAAGGAGGAGCTGAGCCCAGAGGCCTTGGGGCTGGTCTGTGTCTGCGCCGGGCTTCTAGCCTGCCCTGGCCCTGTGCAGGGGAAGGCAGGGCCGGAACCCCCACGCTGACCAGAGCTCCCCGCCCACCCAGGCAGGCTGTACTGACGTGTCCTCCCTTGAGCCTCGATTTCCCTCCTACTAAGTGGACTGGACAGCAGCCTGAGCAAGATGTCCCTGGGGTGCGAGGAGGCTATGCTGCATGTCAACAGGGCCACGCTTGGAAATGTGCGCTGTGGTCAAGCAGCACTGCACTGAGGTGCTGGCAGCCCCCGTCTGGCGTGGGCACCACCCACCTGCATGCCCGTAACGGCCTGTGTGCGGCCTCAGCAGGTGTCAGGGAACCTGGGAACCTGAGCCACTGCCCCCATCTCTGCTCCCCGGGCTTGACACAGGCCCAGGATCGGCCCTTGCCCTCTGCTATCCCCCAGGCACTGCCGCGGGGACCCCGAGGCCTGGAGCCCAGCTGATGGGACTGGCTCACAAGCCAGCCTGCCAGGGTCCAGGACTCAGGAAACACATGGCTCGGGGGAGGAGATGAAGAGCACACGCAGGCGCGTGCACAAACACACACAAGCACACTCCCGGGCACATGTGCACGAGTATGTGTGTGCACATGCCCACAAGCACGTGTGCACGTAAGCACACAGCCTGCTCTCCGGCACAGGTGCACATACACATACACCATCACATCCACACACAAGACATGTGTACGCACACGAACACCGCCTGCACAGACATGCACACTTATGGACACAGCGGTGCACACACGTGAACACAGACGCACCTGCACATTCGTTCACTCAGAGACGTGTGCATATGCACGTGTCAACACACATCCGCAGACACGCCTCTCCCCCCACTGTCCCCTCTCTGGGCCTCCCTCCCCTGTGGAGGGGCAAGTGTGAGGACACACGGGGACATGAGAGGATACTCGAGGACAGGAAGGATACACGGGGATGCTTAAGGACACACACACTCCCATGGGCAGGCCCAGCAGGCACCAGTGCTCGGTCCACACTTGTGCCCGTCCTAGGGCTGGAGGGGCTCCTCTGCCCGAGGGGACACCGCCCCACTCCCGCCCAGGCCAATGGTCCGACACGGTGAGCACAAGGCTGCCCTGCCGCAACGGTCAGACGGACACAGTGGGCTTCGGGCCCCTGGGCCAGAGCGGGGCATCTGGCCAGCGTGCTCCTGTGACCCCTTCCCGGCCGGCGCTGGCCTGGGGACCCCAGCCCTCCTCCAGGGCCACAGGCCGGGACACGTGCCTCCACTGTGGGCCCCACCCGGGCTGAGGCCCAGAGTCCCGCCTGGGCCGGCAGGGAGACACCGCCCAGGGGGGTGGCTTAGGAGCAGAATGTCCGCCACGGCTAAATGTGGAATGGAAAATTTTAACTCAGACGTTTTCATTTAAATCAGGTTCTTCATTAGCACCATTTGTGTCTGAGGGCAGCACTCACCCATAGGGCGCCGGGACCAGCGGGTCAGAAGCCATCTGCCCTGCTCAGGCCAGGGGGTCCTGGCCTCATGGTACCTGCACCCACCTGTCTGATCCCTACAGACACCTAGACAGATGCGGACACTGAGGCTCAGGGGGCCGGGGTACCCCAGGCTACACACAGCGAGTCTCACCAGGGAGCTCACACAGAACTTCCACCCCCAGCCATCCCACCCCATGAGGCCCCAGTCCATCCATCTGGGCCCACTGAGGCTGGGCTGGTCACAGGCCTGTGGGCTGCCCACTGTCCTGGGCTGGGCCCTGTCCAAGATGCTCCAGACAGACAGATAAGAGAGCTCAGCCTGGCCCCAGGTGCTGGCGGCTCACCAAGCAGCCCCAGCCCTCCAACATTCACAAGGTCGCTGTCACCCTGCAACGTGGCTCTGGGGGGCTAAGAGGGTAGGGGTGGGGGCCGAAGCCTGGCCTGGGGGGTCTTCAGCATCTGACCCAGCCTGGAGTTGTACCACAGTGTGAAGGATTTCTGGGGCCCAGGGGGACACAAACCCCACCAGGAAACCAGGGAGGCTTCTTGGAGGAGAGCCTCTGAGAGCTGCCCTGCACACAGCACGCACTCCATCCGCAGGGGGTCCCCACATCCAGGCACTGTTCCTTGCCCCGGCCTCTCCTGGAGACATGTCTGAAGGTCCTGCTGCTCTCACCCCCTGGTAAGCTAGCTGAGGAAGGCGGTCCTGGGTCCCTTTGGCCTCCAGCCCTGGGCCCTGTGTGACAGTGTTGCCCTCTGCTGTCTGGCACGCAGGGTGCGACGCCCATGCAGTGCAGAGAGGGGACTCGGAGGGACTCAGTGTCTAGTAAAATCTGAGGGGCAGCCAGAGGAGACGGCAACCCCCTGTGGAGGTGCCAGTGGAAAGGTGGGGAGGGCACAGGAACAGCCTGGTCCCCTCCCTGGGCACATGTCCCAGGCCACAGGGCAGAAGGGTGGGCACTGGGTGGAAAAGAGGCCTGCCCCAGGAAGGGGACCAGCCTGGCATAGCCACCCTGACCTGCCTGGGCCCGTGCCCACCCAGGAATCGGCACAGCTGTTGTGGGTGGCATCAACAGGCCTGGGCCCCGGCAGACCCCACTTCTCAGGAACCCAGAGGTCTTAGAGGAGCCTGGCAGAGCCAGGGTGGGGCAGGCCAGGGTCCAGGGAGTATGGCCTCAGCGTCAGGGTGCCGGGGAGGCTCCTCAGCCTCAGCAGATGACCACCGCACATCAGACCGGGGAGAGCAGCACCTCTGAGCCCCCATCCTGTTGCAGAGACACACGGCACGCCCCAGTACAGGGCCAGCCCAGGTCAGTGTGGGCCACAGCCGGGGCGGGGCGAGGGCACGGCCCATGCTGCCTCCAGATAGGAACCCACACTCGAGAGCATATGTCCCTGAGCCTAGAACCCCAGCTCGGAGAACAGAGGAAGAAGGCAGGGCACTCGGCACAGTAGGGGCAGCTGAAGCACCCAACGGGCCATGTTCGCAGGAACAGCATGTCAAGGACCCTCTGAGATCACATATGAGTGAACAGCCACAGCCACAGCCAGGCCCAGGTGCTACAGCAGCAACGTCTGGTGCAGAGGAGAGGAGAAGGGGGTGTCAGGACGGATTTCAATTTCTTTAACATTTTTTTCTCTGCATTTCACAAGTTTTCCATAGAGACCATACGTTACTTTTAAAGTCATAAGAAGGACACTGATTTGCACAGGAAAGTGAGAAACCCGCCACAGAGGCCCCTAAGGACAAGGATGGGCTGGGCCCATCCCTCCAGAAGCCTCAGTGGGGTCTGTCCCCCTGGGCCAGGCGCCCTAGGCCACCCTCTGCCCTCCCCCTCTCTGCCTGCCACCAGCAGCATCTGAGTGACAAAAACACACCGGCTCGCCCAAGCCAGAAATAAGCCCATCCACACAGGCCTTTTTTAAACCCGTTCTTGGCAGCCTGCAGTGCCCACCCAGCCCCAGCCTCCAGGTAGGAGCTCTCCCGCCTCCACTGGCGCCCAAGCGGACTAGCTGTGCACATGGCGGCCAGCCTCTCTCTCAGGAAGGTGAAAGGCACCAGGCAGCTCCTGCCCACCCCGCTCCCACTGCACACATTCAGGGGCCAGGCCACCTCTGAGCAGGTAGCCACCGCTTGGGCCACCCAGGCCGTGCCGTGGCCATGGCCTTATGGAAGAGGGTAGGTGGTTGAAGGTCCAGAAACTGAAGCCTGGAGCCCCCAACCTCTCCTTGTACCTGAAGGAGCCCTGGGGTGACCCCATGGCATGGAGGGAGGCGGAGCTGTCAGCCAGCCACTCTGGTCTGCCAGCCAGCCTGTGTCTTTGGTGAGGAAGTTGAGGCCGGAGGGGCCAAGTGTCTGCTGGCCTGGGTGCTCCCTCCTTGGAGGTGGAGGCCTGGCCCCAAGGGTCCCAATGCCCGTCCTGGCCAGGTCACAGAGGTGCTGTGCCAACAGGGGTCCCTGGGTGTGTCCTGGCCTGGGCCTTCCCAAGAGAAGCCAAGGGCCAGGCGGGGGTTACCAGCAGCTGTGAGGCAGGCATGTGGCAACAAGGCCAGGCCACACCTACGTAGAAACGACTTGGCTCTGGCCCGGGGCAGGCGGCGGGGAGGGCACCCAAGAGGCACTCACGGCTGTCTGCAGGGAGGGCTAGCGGTTCTGGGCATCCCACGTCCCCGCACAGGGCACCCATGGGGTGGGAAGGCTGCAGCCACACCCTGGGCAGCCTGGCTTACCCCCCTGGCAGGCCAGTGCTCCCACCCAGGGCCTGCCTGGCACACCCTGAGGTGCCAGCCAGTGACAGCGTCCCCACACTAGACTCACCTGTCCCTGGTCCTCCAGGACGCCCGCACTGGCTTCGGCCCCCAGCCCAGGGTGGGGCTCACGTAGCCCGCAGGCAGCGCCCCGCCTGCCCCACTCCTGCCCCCGGCCCGGCCCAGCCCACCCGCCTCTGCCCCTCGCTGCCCTGCGCCGCCCGTGCCCGGACGCGGCGCTGACTCACGTGAACACGAAGAACAGGGTGCTGGAGCCGACCAGCAGCGCGGCGGCCGTGGCCACCGGGATGTACTTGGCGGGTTTGAGGCGCGTCCCGGGGCTGCGGGGCATCCTGGGCGCCGCGCCGCCGCATCCCTCCCCGGGGCCGGGCGGGCGGGGCCGGCCGGGGTCGGGCCGGGGTCGGGCGGGCGGGCTGGACGCGGCGCAGGACCCGCGGCGGCGGCGGCGGCGGCGGCGGCGGCGCAGGCGGAGGAAATCCCACCCCACGGGCGGCGGCGGCGGCGGCGGCGCGCTGATGTCAGCGCGCCCCTTAAGGTGGACTGGACGGCCGGGACCGCGAGGGGGCGGGGCGAGGGGCGGGGCTGGGAGGGCGTGGCGGCGGGGGGCGGGCCGGACCGACCCCTTCCTCGCAGCCCCGCCCGCCGGCCCCGGGGGGTGCGGGGGCACTCGCTCGCTCGCCCAGCTCTCCGAGGCCGCGCAGCCGCACCCTTGCGGCAAAGACCAGACCCTGGTCCCGGCCCGCAGGCCCTGGCGCGGCGGCGTGCACGGGTCCCCTCCTACGCCTCTTTTCTGTCTTCTTCCTAAGCACCCCCGGGCGCGTCCCCGGGGCAGGCTGCCGGCCCCGGCTCCATGCCGCTCCTGGGCTGGGTTGACCGCCTTCCACTGGGGCCCCTGGTACGCAGCGGGCACCGGGAGACATTGAGGGCCATCGTGGTGGTTGGTCTCTCGGCTGACCAAGCCCAGCCAGAGGGCAGGGACAGGAGGGCGGGGCGCGTCCCTCCGCTTCCTGGCTCCGCCTACGGGCCTAGGAGTGTGCCAGGAAGACCTCAGCGCGGGGCCAGCGTTCTGTCCCCCGAGGCGGGAGCCTCCCGGGACGCGCAGCGCCCGGCCGCCCGATAGGCCGGCGGCGGGCCCACCTCCCGCAGGAAATCCCACCCGCCGGCGCCGCGCCGCTGCCGCTTAAGGTGGACCGGCGGGCGCCGCGCCCACGGCCCCCCCAGGCGGACCATCCGGCCGCGCCGGCCTGAAACTCCGCAGCCTCCCCAGCCAGGGTCATTGTCCTCATCCATCCAACACGCCCCCAGCGCCCCTGCGATGAAACCCAGACCCACTATACCCTCCCCAGGTGGGAATCGGGAATCCCTTGCCTAGGGAGCCCCATCCCCGCAGGGTGGGTGGCCAGGGTTGGGGGCGGGTTAGAGGAAGGAACCCAGGACCAGCCCTGATGCGGTCAGCCACCCGACAGCAGAAATGGGATAGGCTTCATAAGGAACACCCCCACTGTAACCTCTGCTCTGAGGGGTGTCCCACTCCAGGAGGCCAGAGCTCCCCTGCACTGATGGGGGTTCTGAGGTCGTGGAGGGGTCTTAGGACGTGGTGAGCCAAGAGCAGACGCTGCTGGAGCAGGCACCTCCTCACCTCAGCTCGGGTGGCCTCCAGGGCTGGAACACCACATGCCAGCCAGCACACCTACCCTCGCCTTGTCCTTGCTCTCACAGCCCAGCACGAAGACACTCCAGACCCCCAGGAGGAGCGGCCCTCCCAGCAGGTGCCCCTCTGGTGGCACACCCACTACACGGAGCTACACAGAGCCACTCAGGTCCAGGTCTGACTCCACACCTGTGCTCTGCAGGGTGCCAGGACAGTCACCCTCCTCCACTGGGCTCAGAGCCCTGGAGAAAAGTGCCACATGTGGGCAAGGCAGAAACAGGCTTATGCCTGCTTGGTGAGACCCCTTTTACTTACAACTGAGGCCTGGACAGAGAGGGGTCCTGGGTGGTGCAAATCCAGCTACAGAAGACAGAGAACCCATTGAGGTCCCAGCACAGGCCTCTCCAAGCAGGGCCAGCAGCTAGGGCCAGCACAGGCCTCACCCACCAACGTTGCTGCTGAACCCAGGGCCCAGGAGTTCTCTCCCCAAGGACAGCTAAGATCCCAGGGAAAAGGAACATGAAGCAGAAAGCAGGAGCCCCCACCTCCCATAGCCCAGCAGATGTGCCTGGCGTTTCTCACGATCCCCAACACCTGCAGGACCTCCGTTCCCACTTCCTGTTGCTTCTCCACCAGAGAGGGCCCACCAGAAACCCACTGGGCTGGGTGGCTCACAGAGCGCCCCCACAGGCATCCTGGCTTGGCCTGCACTACAGTCCTGTGGAGCCAATGCTTGGACATTCTGTCCCCTTGCACATTCTGCAGTGTCAACAAGCCACATCGTCATCGATCGCACCCTGCAATACAACTGTCCCCCTTTGAGACACTTCTCCCATCCCCAGATGAAGTCAGCCTGGACTTTTTATTTGAACCCAAAGCTGAAGACTGAAAGTTAAACATCCTTTCTATGCTGGAAGGGGAGTTTACTGTCCTAGAGAAGGGCTCCCGTTGAGGGACATCACACCCGTGGGAGCCTGCCTTTCACACGCATCCACGCACCAACCCGCACCCTTGCCAGCATGAAAGGAGTGAGGCGCAGTGAGGCACCACCTGCGGCTCACAGCATCACAATCCCAACACACCAGGACCTCGCCATGCACAAGCGTCACCTCCTCCTCAGGTGGAGAGCACCTCTACCCACCGCAGACTTGCTGGGGTGAGCATTCCTGGAGCATGGCGAGGCCCACAGCAGAGGAACACAACAAAGATGGCCAGTGAGGAGTCTTCAGTCAGGCTTTTAAAAAACAAGAGCTGCTGCCTTTGGAATTGCTCCCCCAGAGGGACCAAGGACTGGTGTTTAAACCAGACATACGGTCACCAGATAGGACACAGCACACAGGGTCAGAGAGAGCAGGGCCCAGGCCCGGCTGATGGGCAAGGATGGGTGGCCACACTGTAAAGCACCCCCTGGTAGGTGTTAATGACAAACAGCCATAGGGGACAGAGTCCCTCTTGCTGCCTCCAGGGCCAGCTCCTAGCTTGCTCCTCCCCCACTAGAGGGCAGGGCCTACTTGGCCCCTCAGAGCCCTGGTCTCCCATGGTCTCCCCAGGACCCACAGGATGCAGCAGTCAGGACCACATGCCTTAAGACCTCTCTTGGACCCTGAAAACCCTTCTCCCCTATGTCTGCAGACAAACCTGTTATACAAGACAAACCCCGACATGGCATCCTTGAAAATGTCTCTTTATTTGCAGCTATTGCAGATGTGCACGATTCCAACACTGCTGAGTTTGGACCTTCAAGTCCAAGGAGGCCAAGACCCTGGAAGTTTTCTCCAAGGACAGTGCTAGGGTATCTCATGGGGTTTCTAACGTAAGGGCTGTGTGGCCAAGCCATGCCTGGCACCACACCAGGCAGGACGTGTGCTGCAAGACTGGCTTTTCCCTCCACCAGGACCCGGCCAAAGCCTGGAAACCTGCTCAATTGGTTACCACCTCCCTGTGCTAGAGTGAGGTACTTTGGTGGTCTTCCTTTCTCTCCTCAAAACACAGATTCGCGCGCGTGCGCACACCCCCTCCCCCCCACCTACCTACCCACCACAGGGCAGAGCAGAGCACCCCTCAGGCCCAGCACCAGTCCCACCCAGACCCTCAGCAGCGCACGCTGCCAGCCGGCACCAGGCACCCCAGCCAGGCTGCCTCTCTAGCACCAGCCCACAGCCCAGCGGCACCAGAGCAAGTCTCCAGAGAACCCTGGCTGTGAAGCGCGGTGCCTGCCGCAGCCACGCACACCGGGGGCTCAGGCGAGCACCCTGGCAGCCAGTGGGAACCGCACCACTCACAGAACGGAGCCGCACACACAGTCCTGCTGCCCAGTCCGGGTTCCAAATGCGGTTTTTATTCACTATTTTTGATGACTATAAATAAGTGTTTCCACTATGGAAAAGAAAGTTAGCACAGTACATTTTCATGACTGGGGAATGGATTTTCTGAAGTCGTCTTCAATAGGGCAAAAACTTAGAAAAAAAAAAACCAACATGAATGTTGGAATTCAGTTCTTTATATAAAGTCCCTTGTAAAAACAAAACAGAATAAAACCGAAAAGGAGGGGCAGGGCAAAATTTTAAAAAAGAAGAAAAAAGAAAGGAAAAGGAAATAAAATAAGACGATTTATTGCTTCTCCTCAGCTTCCTCCTTGGTCTCCTCCTTCACCGAAAGAGCTTCTAGCTGTTCAGCCACTTTTTCGGCATTATCGTTTTTGCCCAATCCTGCTAGAACACAAGAGTGAGCAAAGTAAGAAAACAGAAGAAAGGGAGCATCAGCCCACACTGCAGCCCTGCCTGCACCCCCACAGCCCTCAGGACTGACCCCCGCCAGGGGCACGACCAAAGGAAGCCACGTAAACCCATGTCCACGAGTTGCCTAGACCTCAACTAGGCTGCTCAGTAATATCTGGCCACTAGCTACCACAGCCATCACCCGATCCCAGAGGGCAGGTAACTGAGGCCTCTGAGAGAAAGAAACACAAGGCTATCTTGAAGCACCTTTAGCCTCTGGTCAGTTTAGTCAGAGCATCGTGGGCCAACTGCCTGCCCAGCTAGACCCGAGACAAGCCACACCAGGCACCCCGTGTCCCCAGGCAGCTGCATCACCCTTGACAAGTCAGGCAGCCGCAGCACCCGGAATATTTCTCTGGCAGACAGAAAAAGCACCCGTCTGAGGCTGCAGCCGGGTGCAGAGTGAGTCTGCGAGGAAGCCCCACCCAGGCCCCTCCCAGGCTGCCACCCCACCTTTCTTTTCTCTCTCTTCAATCTCTTTCCTGCATTCTTCAAACTTTGTTTTGAATTTCTGTGCATCTGCGGAAAGAAGAGAAATGACTTCCTAAGAGCCGGGAGCAGTGGAGGGAGGTTCACAGAGGGCCCTGGGCTTTCAGTCGAATTGGGCAGTGACCCCCGAATCTGTCCCAAGGCTGGGGGCTGTGCTGAGCCTTGTGTCTGCCTTCATCTGACTGTGCACAATTTAGAGAGAGCAGCCCAGAGCATGGGACCTCCTGGCTACGGGCTGCCCCCCTCACTTGTGTTGGAAGGGCTGCGGGGACAACCCTACTCCCAGGACATGAGTGAGGTTCACTCAGCCCCAGACTGTCAGCTACTGGGCACTGGGCCATGACACCTACAACTCCTCCAGGAACCACTGAACACAACTTTGACAGTCCACTCTGCAAAGACCTCCGAGCAGGAGAGAGAGGTGGGCCTGGATGACCACACTGCCCCTGTCCTCGGTGAGCCAGAAGCCTGGCATGAGGAGCAGCCCTGGGAAGGCCCCCAGGGTTGGTCTCAGGCTCCACGAGACCTGACAGGAACCGAAGCTTAAACAAGAAACTGAAGTGCCAGGCACAAGACGGCAGGGCAGGAACAGCCCTAGCACACTCCCCAGCTACTGTCCCTTCTCCCCCAAAAGCAACAGCATTTGTTGCACACTGTGGGACAGGTGAACCCCAAGTCAGGTAGGTCCCTGGGGTCCTGCCCTCCTGCTCACTCTCAGCATTTAGGAAGCGGATGGCCAGCAGCTCCGGCTTGGGGCACTCATCAGCAAAGTCAGCGTGGGTGTTCCAGACCCAGGCGCGGTCGCTTCCTGCATTGGGCTTCAGCTCCATCATCGGTGTGACTGCAGGGAGAGAAGCCCATGAGGACGGTGGGGACTGACAGTGGGACAGCCGCCAAGGCTGGCCCACCCAGTCCTTGGCCACAGAGCACCCTGATAACTGAGCCAAGGGACCCACTTCAGGCAATATGGGGACGGTCTGGGCCTGAGAACTGGGCCCGAGAACTGGGCCCAGACAAAGTCCCACAGGGCCTGCAGATTAGGAACAGGGCAGCCTGCTCCCCAACCATGAGGACATCTCGGCAAGGGGTTCCTGAGCCATCTTTCCAATACCACGCAGCACATAGAGCCCCACCTGCAGAAAAGCAGACAGGGGCAAAAAAGGGACCAGCTGCGGTCCCAGCACATCTCGGGCCCTGGGTCAGATGTCAGGACACAAGGCCAAGGGAGCCCAGACATTCCTAAGGGCCCCAACATGTGGACCTAGCTGATCTGAAGGTCGGGGGCAGCTGAGGGAAAGAAGCCAGAATGTAGGGCAGTCACGTGACAGGGCACGTAGCCAGGCAGGGCAAGCTACTGCCCAGAGGGATGAGACCACCAGCAGGGAACACCCAGAGCCCCATCACAGATGCTTCAGTGTCACAGAAGACAGAGCCTGGAATAAACATGCCCACCCCCGATTCCTCAGGCCCCATGCAGACCTGAGGGGAGGGAAGGGAAGACAGGTCCCTGGGCCAAGAGGGGACTATGTGTCTGGAGATGGCCCTACAGGTGCTGGCTCACCAGAACAGCCCCCTGTCCCCCTGGCAGGTCTGAGAATGTGGGGTGGGCCCATGCCCAGCCCTGGCCACATGCTCTCACGCGAGTCCACACGTCACCGTGTGAACTGGGAGCTTGGGATCTCCCAGAGCAGTTACCAGGCCTCCTGCACGCAGTCCCCATCCACATCCACACCTCATACGCCAGCTGCCCGCCAGCCTTGCCTGCACCCCACTGGTCATACGGCTCCCACCCACCACCATCCCCGTCCACTGAGGGCCCTGACACGCACCAGGCACCGCAGACTGCGCAGGTGGCTCTGCCCAGATGCTGGGACTGACTGACGACTCTCACAGAAACCCAGCAACCAACAAGGCTTGGGAGAAGCATGGGGCATCAGGGAAGACCCCACAGAAATGATTCAACCTGGGCTTGAGGATGAGGACAAGGAGCAGACAGGCTGGGCGAGGAGAGCACCCTGTCCCTTTCTCAGGGCCTCTGCAAAGCTGGCCATCCTTCTGTCTCACCTGAGGGCCACTCAGCTCTGGTTCCCACTAGCAGTCACCCTGTGTGCCCGGGACTCGGGGGCCCTGTCCCAATGGACACATATTACACTAAGCAAACAGACACAACATCAGAGCTTCACCAAGGGACCCTCTAGGACCAGTGTGCTTCTGAACACCCACCCACAAGCAGGGGCAGCACAAGCTCAGCCTGCAGGCAGCTGGCAGCCATACAAGTTGGGGACAACCTACTGCCACTTCTTTCCAGGCCGGGCCTCCTGTGGCCCTTCCCTGACCCCACACAGGGTGATTAGGGCTTACAGCCACACCTGCCCAAGGGCCGCCACTCACTCCCGGTGCAGCTTCACAGGTGCCCAGGACTCAGTGGCCACCTGTCCTCCTCCCGTGTCCTCCCCAGGAGACATCCTGGTGGGAGTAGAACACCAAAGGTTGGGAGGCTGCCGCCCAGACACCTTGCACACGCACTTGTGTACAGACACAACACACACAGGCTCAGTCAGCACACATACACCCAAACACCCCCTCTCACATGTACTTACACATCACACAGAGCGAGCCCAGGCACCACACAGGCACTACACGCACTCTCAGACACCACACACTTACACGCAGACTCCATCACCACACACGTGCTCAGATACCACAAACACAATCTCGGAAACCACACACGTGCCCAGATGCCACAAGCAACATGCTCACATACCTCCCCCCCACTCTTTGTCACACAGAGCCCAGGCACCTTGCGCACATGCACACCGTTGGCCCTCATCCTGTCCTGCAGCACTCACTCCGTGTTCCGAACCCAGCCTGCGCTGTGTCACCCCAGCAAAGCCTGCCTGGCTGGACTCCACACCTCTATGTTCTGTAAGTTTCATGCAGGCCTGTTCTTAGTTCAGAGGCACGTTTGGAAACGCATTTCTTATTTTAAATCCGATAAACACCACAAACGTGCGCGACATGTAGGAATATGCTCCCTAGTTCCCAGTTGGCCCTGAAAGAATCTTCCTGAAGGCCCCAAGCTGACCTGATGTGAACACAGAGCCCGAGGCCACCTACTGTAGTGGTTGGCGCAGATCTTCAGAGTCTTGTCCCTTCTCATGAGGAGGCGGATGGTCCCTTTTTCCTTGTGCTTCAGGAGCTTGACATCGCCAGTGCCTCGTTCCTTCCATTCTGGAAGATCATTCTCTGACGCAAATCGGAACAGCTTTGCCCGCCTGTGAGAAAAGCCACCAAGAAGCTTAGACATGCACAGAGGGGAACACAGGCACCAAACATTTTCCCAGAAGAACCCTTGTCCTCACTGCACTGAACGCATGGCACAAGCTGGACTCGACGTCTCAACAAACACCCTTTCCATTCTCAGGCTGCAAGAACATCACCCCAAAGAGCACAACAGCCCAACAAATTATGGGCCGTTTTTATTTCACAATCAAAACAAAAAAAAGATGTCTACAGTCGCAATATTTTTCACAACAGAAACCCCTGACCTTTCTAAGTGACGTGCAAATGACTCAAAGTGGGTAAAGAAGATCCTAGGTGGGCTGGGTGTCTCACGGTCACATTTCAGGTGCACCCCTCAGGCCTGTAGACCTATGGGGACAACTCAGAGCAGGGGGAGGCTGAGGCCCCGACCCTACACAGGCCCAGACCTTCCCTCAACTGTCAGATGCCCTCTCTTCTTCCCCAGCCCCCGGGGGAGCCCATGCCTCTGCTCGACAACCAGGCTCTAGGCCTACACCCAGCCTTCCCGCCCAGAAGCAGCATGTCACGCTGGGAACCCGGGGACCCAGGACCCAGCAGTGCGCTCTCTGTGGACAGAGCGGCAGTGATGGGACACCCGCACATGACTGGCCAGGGGGCAGCAGGGTCACCTGGTGATTTGGTGAAGGAATGGGTTGAATTTCTAAGCAGGATTAGTTACCACACAATTTTAGGCCCTTCCTTCTAACAGCTTCGGTCCAATTAAAAGTCAGGCCAAGCAAGACCTTGACACCCAAACACCATAACTTTCAAAGATACCTATTCTGGGACGTCAGCCTACTTACATTTTAAAAAGCTCCTCTTCATCTTCCTCCAGCGTTTTAATTTCTTGCTCAGGAAGAGAAACTATTGGCTCAAACTGGGGGTCGTGGTTGGACTCATCTGCGTTCTCAGTGGAGGTATCATGGTCCTCATGCGTGTCCTGTGGAGGGAGATACAAAGAGGTGAGTGACACTGCTGGCCTCCAGACCTGGCCCACAGCCAGAGCCCACCAGTGCCCGCAGTGGGCATCCCAACAGTGAATGAAGAGCCTTTGAACACCAGAGTGGGCCTCACTCTAAAGTAAGAAACTCAGCCCATAGCCTTTCACTTCAGGAAAGGTTTGCATGTGGGATCACCAGGCAAGCCTGTGGTTAGATGCTAAATTTCTGCATCCCTGCCCCCATCTGCAAACATCAATCACATCTGTGCACAGACTGACTGGGGCTCCTGAAACTTGCTCAGTGGCCTGGGAGAAACTGCCTCAGTTTCCTCATCTGTAAAATGCAGGGGATACCTGCTGTGTGAAGATCAAGAGACACAACGATGAATCTTAAGAGCATCACCCTTAAAGGGAACAGAAACCCTTCCCGTTTTCACTAGTTAGGAAATGTTTGGGCTCTTCCTTACTAGAAGGAAAAAATATTGCTATAGGACTATTAGTATTTACATGGAATTCACAATCCTGTTAGCAGTTTTCACATAGTTTGTAAAACTAAGTTCATCAGTAGGCAAATCATACAAGTGAAACTCATAAAACCCTCAGCCAATTCGGAAAATTACAGAGCACAAATAATATTTTAGGTTCAAGTCTCGCAGAACACGTGCCTCGGTGACCCAAAAGTCCCTAAGAGACCCCAAAACATCACCCCCAGAATCAAACCGGAAAAGCAAATAAAAGCTGCTCTTCCCAGTTCAACAGCACTGCGGCTGTGCCATGGCACGTACCCAGCCAGACACCGGCAGCCAACAAAGCCGCCCCCGCCCTGGGTCGGCGCGTCCTGGACGCCCCCACCCCCACCGCTGGAACGCGAATTCTCCCACAGAGGCTGGTGGCGACTCCGGACGTCAGGATTGAATGAATAAAGTGCTGCGTGGGCGACGGAAGGGACCACTGCACCGTACTACTGGGAAGCCCCAAGTGGGCCGGGCCAGAGAAAACCGGCCGCCGGCCTCGGTCCCCAGTGAATGGGCGGCCTCGCACGGCGATGGCTGCTCCCCGGCCCACCCCAAGGTCATGCGGGCGCCCCGCAGCCCCGGGGCCCGGAGCCCGCACCCCCAGACACCAGGCACCCCGACCCACAGGCCTCCAGCTCCCAGGCCCCGCGTGAGGAAGGCCTCGCAGGCGCCAAGCCCGCAGGCCGGCGGGGGTTGGCCGTGTCGGCGCGGGCCGCCCACGTGGCCGCCGATAGCGGCCCCGGCCCCCCTGGGCCCCGTCCGCCCACCCCGGGCCCGGCCGCACCTTGGTGGCCGCCATAGGGGCGCGGCGGCGACGCGGCGGCTCGGCTGGCTCGGTCGTCGCTGGCTCCTCGGCCTCTCGGCGGCTACTCGTAGCTCCTTCCCTCCGCGTCTGGCGCCGGCGCCTCCTGCCCGCCCGCTTTTCCCTCCGCCCCGCGACCCGAACCCCGACCCCTGACCCTGGCGGCGGGAAACGCGCCGCGATTCAAAACCAGCGCAGCTTTATTGGCCTATGCGGCGGACACTCTCATTGTCCGGCCCGCCCCGCACTTCCCGCCAAAACGCCCGCGGCGCATGCCCGGCCCGTCCGTCAGCCTGGGAGGTGCACAACTCCCAGCAGCACCCGCGCGCACTTCCGTCCCCAGCCGCACGCGCCTGTAGTGCTGGCTAAAGTAGCTGGGGGGGGCGGGTCGCAGCTGGCGCGTGGTGATGACGTTGCCGGAAGCCGGGACCATGGAGACGCCCCGCCTCGGTGACACGCGCTGGAGGACTCAAGAGCGGTGGGTGAGACGAGTGGCCGGCGCGGGCCCCTGGTAGGCGGGCGGTACAGCCCGTGCCCGAGATCTGGGCCTGAGCACCAGGGGTTCGAGTCCAGCCCCCGCCGGGCGACCTCGCAGCGCCGCCCCTGCTCTTTGAGCACCTCCCGTGTGACAAGCCCAGGACCAGGCGGCGACGCGGCCCTTTTGGGGCCCCCAGTCCTGGTGGCGAAAGGCCCAGACGATGAGTGACAAACTGGACAGCGAAGTAGAGTGAAGGGAGACGGAGGGGTCGAGGATGGGGATGGGGATGGGGATGGGGATGGGGATGGGGATGGGGTGGGGCGGGAAGCCCGTGGGAGAAGAGATGGGGATGCAAGACTGAGATGGGGAAGGAGGGTAGAAAGGGGAACAGTGGGGACGGCTGCGTGTGGGAGTAGGGAGCCTGAGGGGGTCAGGCCTGGTGGTCAAGCCCTCAGCCTAGCCCTGTTTGTCCCCGTGCAGGGCCCAGAGCCCATGGAGGGCTGCAGCCAGTATAGCAGCAGTGCCCTGGTTAGCCCCGCAGCCCCGGCACCTCAGGAGGAGGAGGAGGGAGCTGGCACCGCCACAGGGCCCGGGCCTCAGCTGGGGCTCTACAGCTACATCAGAGACGATGTGTTCACCTCGGAGATCTTCAAGCTGGAGATGCAGAACGTGCCTCGCCACACCAGCTTCAGCGACGTCCGGCGCTTCCTGGGCCGCTTTGGCCTGCAGCCCCACAAAACTAAACTCTTCGGGCAACCACCCTGCGCCTTCGTGACGTTCCGCAGTGCTGCCGAGCGGGACAAGGCCCTGCGAGTGTTGCACGGCACCCTCTGGAAAGGCCGCCCACTCAGCGTGCGCCTGGCCCGGCCCAAGGCCGACCCCATGGCCAAGAGGCGGCGGCTGGAGGGTGAGGGTGATCCTCCTGTCACACGAGTCGCCGACGTTGTCACCCCTCTTTGGACAGTTCCCTACGCTGAGCAGCTGGAGCGGAAGCGGCTGGAGTGTCAGCAGGTGCTGCAGAAGCTCGCCAAGTGAGTGTGTGCGCAGGGCACCCCTTGGCCCCAAGTCCTGCTCTGCCCCGTGCTTGCTAAGCCTGCCCGCACCGAGCAGGATGGCCAGCGTGGGGCCCAGCAGTCTCTCAGGGAGCTGGCCAGTGTTCAGTGAACACAGTGATGTCCCTAGGGAGTGGCCGGGCATAGGTGCGGGGCGGTGGGCAGAGTCCGACCACGGATCTGCCTCCTCCTGCAGGGAAATTGGGAACACCAACCGCGCCCTGCTGCCCTGGTTGCTTGCACAGAGGCACAAGCACAACAAGGCCTGCTGCCCTCTGGAGGGGGTCCAGCCATCACCCCAGCAGGTCAGCCTGGGCTGCGGCAGCCAGCAAGCTCCATCCTGTGCTTTTAAAACTTCCCTTTTGCTCACTCATCCCATCAGTGTCCCTGCTTTGCATTTTCTTCTGGCACTCACCACGTGGCTGTTAGTAGGCCTCTTGGTTTTGACTGCTGGCCCCCATGGGGAGATCAGGGTTTCTCCACACACAGGTGCTGGACAGCCAGGGTGAAGTCTGGGTGTCTCTCTGCCTCCCACCTCCCTGCAGACTGAGTATCGTAATAAGTGTGAGTTCTTGGTCGGCGTCGGGGTGGACGGGAAGGACAACACAGTAGGCTGCCGGCTTGGCAAGTACAAGGGTGGGACGTGTGCTGTGGCTGCCCCCTTTGACACTGTGCACATCCCTGAAGCCACCAAGCAGGTGGTGAAGGCCTTCCAGGAGTTCATTCGGTGAGGACCTGAGGCTGGGCTCCTGGGAAGTCCTGTGCATTCTGGGAGCAGAGGGCAGGGATCCTGCCCTAAGCTTTCTGGGGTGCCCTCGATGGCGGTCAGGTGGGTGGGGGTACGGCTGGAGGAGAGAGCAGGGAGGCTGCTCCCCAGTCCTGGCTGGCAGACATCAGGAACTTAAGGCCACCTGTGACTCCCACAGGTCCACTCCATACTCAGCGTATGACCCAGAGACGTACACGGGCCACTGGAAGCAGTTGACCGTGCGCACCAGCCGCCGCGGCCAAGCCATGGCCATCGCCCACTTCCACCCCCAGGTCTCAGGCAGGGGCCCTGCCGGGGGGTGTCTGACCTGGGTGGGCCTCAGCACAGTCTGACGGGGCCTTCTCACCCCTTCTTCCAGAAACTGAGCCCCAGGGAGCTGGCGGAGCTGAAGGCCTCCCTAGCACAGCACTTTGTGGCAGGGCCAGGCAATGCCAGTGGGGTGACCTGTCTGTACTTCGTGGAGGAGGGACAGCGGTGAGGAGCCTGGAAGGGGATGAGGGGGTCCCCACAGGGGAGGTGACACTGAAGCCCCTACACCTCCACCCACAGAAAGACTCCCAGCCAGGAGGGCCTGCCCCTGGAGCATGTGGCTGGGGACCGGTGCATTTATGAGGACCTGCTTGGGCTGACCTTCCGGATCTCACCTCACGCCTTCTTCCAGGTAGCCCTGAGTCCCTGGTGGGCACAAGGACACGTGGAACAAGGCCTGACGCACCATCAGGAAATGATGGGGACAGTGGGTTAGGATGGTGACACACACTTGCTCCATCTGGGGAGAGCATCCAGGCAGGTTAGCTCCGGGGTAAAGGCTGAGACAAGAAAGAGGTTTTTCATCACAGGAAGGCTGTGGAATAGTCCCCAGTGCAGGGCACACTGCACCACCATGGGACAGTGGTGGCCTTGGGGTTGGAACAGTGTTTCAGGATCATTCCCGATACTGGGGCAGGGGGTAGTGTGGGGAGAGACCCTCAAGGGAGGTGTAGGGTCTGGAGCCTATAAGGACCCTCTTTTGGACACAGGTCTGGCAGGACTTGAAGGTCCAGAGGTGGAGGTGGCGGTGATAGTTGGGTGACTCCAGGGGCCCTAGTGGGAGTGCTGGTGTAGGAAGGTGTGGCCCATCGGGCAGCTGTGGGTGTCCTGCATGCCTGCCACTCGGGAGGGCTCCCTATGAATGGGGGTGGGGAGCAGGAGTGTTGGCATGGACTTGGCTCTTGAAGCCAGGAGGCTGGGTGGGATCGCCAGCATGGTGTGGCCAGAGGGGTGGCTTGAGGCTGGGATGGGGACGAGGTTGGGTTGCCTGGGCCCAGAAGTCTCGCAGGGGGAGCCAGGGGTCAGGAGTGCTTGGGGTGCAGGAGGGGAGGCCTGCATACGGGCACCATTGCCGCCCTCCAGGTAAACACGCCTGCGGCCGAGGTGCTCTACGCAGTCATCCAGGATTGGGCACAGCTGGATGGGGGCAGCACGGTGCTGGACGTGTGCTGCGGTACTGGCACCATTGGCCTGGCCCTGGCCCGGGTGAGCCCTCTCTCCACCCCCTGCCCCGCCCCCAGCCCAGCTCCCCTTTGTCTCCTGCCACTCCCCTTCCTGAGGAGTGCTGGGCAGGCACCACTGTCTGTACCCTTCCTATTTCAGAAAGTGAAGAGAGTCATCGGGGTCGAGCTGTGCCCAGAGGCCGTGGAGGATGCCCGGGTGAATGCCCATGCCAATGGTGAGCACAGCGGGCAGGCTCGGGGGAACAGCCATCACCCCCTCACCCCCCCTGAATGCCTCTAACATGGCACCTAGAATCCACCCTGGGTTGAGGGCCACTGGGGGTGCAGCAGGGCTGCCCGCAGACCTCCCTTGCACCTGAGTCCCAGGGTTGCCCAGCAGGGAGGCAGGGTGAGCAGGCTCCTCGGCCAGTGGGCTCCCAAGGCTCCTCTGGCCCCTTCGCAGGCTGGCCCTGCTGGGGGAAGGTGTCCAGGGCCCACTGACAGGCTGTGGTGCCATCTCCAGAGCTGAGCAACGTTGAGTTCCACTGCGGGAGGGCTGAGGACCTAATGCCTGCCCTGGTGAGCAGACTGGCCTCCCAGCAACTTGTGGCCATCCTGGACCCACCCCGTGCTGGCCTGCGTGAGTGGCCTCTGCTTGGGGAGGTGGTACAGGGAAGACAGGTGTCAGGGTGGCACCCCAGGCTGTGTGGTCTCAGGCCTCAGGCACCCAGCCCGTGTCTGCCTTCTCAGACTCCAAGGTGATCCTGGCCCTCCGCAGAGCTGAGAACCTTAAGCGGCTCCTCTATGTTTCCTGCAACCCTCGGGCAGCCATGGGCAACTTTGTGGAGTGAGTGTCAAGCAGGGCAGGGTAGGGGGCCAGGGCCCAGTCCATGCCTCCCAGCGGAGCCCCTGGCCAGCCATGAGGCTGACCTTGGTGCTCCCTCCTTCCCCACTGCAGCCTCTGCAGGGCCCCGTCTAACCGCGTGAAGGGCACCCCATTCCAGCCAGTGAAGGCTGTGGCCGTGGACCTGTTCCCACAGACCCCACACTGCGAGATGCTCATCCTGTTCCAGAGGGTGGAGCACTCCAATGGCACAGGGGTCCTGGGGCCCCAAGGCCCTCCAGCCCAGCCCCAACCAGGGCCCCCAGATGACACCTCACAGGAGACTGGGGCCTCCCTCTCGTCCTAGGCCCTGGGACCAATAGCAGCCAGCTCTCCCAGACCAGGGCCGGTCACAGGGGCAGAAGACCAGGGACCCCCACAGCCCTCCCCAGGCGCTCCAGGATGCAGAGCAGCTGGCAGCCCCACCAGGAACAGCCTGTGGCCACAGGCTCTGAGCTCCAACTAGGAAGGTGGGAGGTCTCCTGTGGCCCGTTCCCCATCTCCACGTACCTTCTGGAACAGCTAGGCTGTGATGGCTGGAATAAACAATGCTGAACTAAGGACGTTTCTGTGATGAGCCAGAGCTCGGGCATACACGGGCTCCTCTCAGCCCCCTACCATGGGTGCCGAGGGGCAGGGCCCTCGGCCGTGTCTGGCCTGCCTGGACACAGGTCCCTACTGGCACCCTTCTCACCAGACCTGGGCAGAACCAAAAATCTGCCCAGCTAGGGTAGAGGGTGGGTGGTGGAGCAGCTCTCCAACCCTTCTGCTCCATTGGGGGAGTCGGTACAGAGAGCCTGCTTTTAACAGAATGTGGAATTTTACACTTAGACACAAGAGGCAGAGATGCAGATCTCAGAAACAAGGACCACCTGGGAGTGGGTGCTGGGTGCTGGGCAGCAAGGGGAGGCCGCCTGCCTCCCCCACTGTGGACAGCAGTTGCTGCCCCTGCACCTGACCAAGGGAAGAGCCCTCAAACCCTCAGCCCAGGAGGGAGGACAGTGACCAAGGAGGGACCCAGAGCCACACTGAGGTGTGCTGCTCAGCCCTGCAGGAGCCAGTGTCCAGCAGGCACCCAGCCCACAGAGGGTCCAAGAGAGGCAGCTGAGGGTCCCCAAGCCCCCAGGCTCCTCCCCTCAGAAGAAAAACAGCAGCCACTCCTTTTGGACAGTTTGCTTTATGCATTCAGACAAGAGGCTTGCCTTCCGGCCCCGGCCCAGTACCCAGGGGCATCCACACAGGCTCCCCTGCCCGCCGACCTCGCAGGACTGCACACAACTTGCACCCATACTTGGTGGACAGAAGGGGACACGGTGCAAGGGGACCAGTGAGCCATAGTGAGGCTCCCTGGCCTCTAGGGGGACAGGTGTGCACAAAGCTTTGGTTCACAGACGCATCTGGCTGTCTTAAGGGCAACAGTTACGGTCAAACGATTATTCACAGCTGCAGACAAAAGGCAAGACAGAAGCAAGTATCTAATTATAGCAACTTGATTTAGGGGTTTCTTTTGAAAGGTCAACACAGAAGCCAACCTTGGTCACATAGGTGGTGAGGAAGGGCTATGCTATGGGTGACCCACAGGCTTGACATTCCATGTTCTGGACAAAAACACTATCACCACCACCCATGGGCGGCATGATGGGGCAGATGCTGCAGAATGCTGGGCTACTGCATGGGTTGGCATGGCACAAGCACACGGCAGCCTCGACAGGTGCTGGGGACAGAGCTCTGAGCACAACCTCATGCCCTGGGACAAAACAGGAGCCCAGCTCCAACCCTGCTCCATCTGGAGGGGCCCAGCAAGCACCAGTGCCAGGCAAGGAGCAAACTGGGCATGGGGTGGCTGCCCTCAAGATCCAGGGAAGCCACTGTCACCAGGAGGCAGCTGCCCGCCACGCACTCAGCTCTGTGTCAAGAGTGGACTGCACCGAAGGGCCCTTCCTGTTTAAACAAGTCCACTTGCTAAAATGCATGATTCCAAGTCTACCTTCCACCCTCACTGTAGAAGTTTCTTTCCAAATGCTGAAATATCAAAAGCTTTAAAAATCGATGAGTGGACAGATGGACTTGACTGCAAAAATCTTTGTAAAAACCGTTGCCAGAGGCCAGCAAACGTGGAGCCTCAGTGTTCAGGGAGGCGCGACCTTGAGGCATTAAGACTTGACCAGAACGGTGGGCTGCAGCAGGCAGCAACACTGGGGAGGCTCCAGGACGTCGTCGTCCCCGCTGGCATCGCGTCTAGGCAACCACCCTGACGATGGTTTGCCTGCAATGTCTGAAAAGTACTGCTGATGCTAAAAGTCTGTTTATTTTAAACCAAAAAGGCCTGAAATACTCCTTTCTAACTGTTACAACTTTTTCAGAGAAAAAGGGAAAACACAGAAGGCAGGTGGGGGTGAAGTGCCACGTGCACCTCCAGCCAGCTCTCCGCAGCGGCTCTGCAGGGGCCCTGGGCACAGGGGCCACCTGGCACCACAGGCCAGCCATGGCCCCAGCACTCAGCATCCCTTCTCAGCTCATCCATCGTCCAGCAGCACTTGCTGTCAGTGCACGTTACATGCTACAGTTCATGAAAACCATCGTCAGACAGTCTGCAGCAGGTACACACAAGCACGGGCTACAGCTGTCTAGAAACTACCACCTTCCACCCGTGTGGTACTTGCAGTTGATCCTTAAACACATCCATTCAGGCCTGGGAGAACCATTGCCTCACGTGTGTGCTGTGTGGTCATGACTGTCCCCGTGTGCTAGAGCCCCCACCTCTGGCCCAGGCCCTCAGACACACTGGCCACAGGGGAGGAACGCAGGTTGGAGGCCTGACTCTGCGATGAGCAATGCGTGACTGGTGGTCTCCTCAGCAGTGCCGCTGGCAGCCCCCGCGCCCCGGCCTGTGCTGCCTCCTCACACATCCACAGTGCACAGGGGCTCACCGCCAGGCTGGGCAGATGCCACAATTGACATCTTAGGCTTCTTCCGAGTCTCCTCCTGAAAGAACAGGGATTGGGCTTGGCAATGAACTGGGCTTGGCAAAGGGCTCAGGAGGGCCAGGGTAGAGACAAGCCCTGCAGACTGGTGCTAGGAGGCTCCAGCAGCCCAGAGGACACCAGTGCCTGTGATGCCAGGCTGGGAGCAGGACAGCCTGGGGAGCAGACTAAGCTAGGACTGGAGAGGGCCCCCGGAATGCCATGGCAAAGCACCACATGCTGCAATTTCCCTGGTGTCATGACGCACACCCAGAAGCAAAGAAGTCAGGTGTGGTCACAGCAACAAGCCAAGTCTCTCCCTAACCCAGCCTTTGTTTGCCCTAGGGCCCAGTCAACCCCTTTCGCCAAGCCAGGGCCTGTTCCCCTCAGGCCCCATAGCTCCTCTCCTGACCAGGGACAGGCCAGGCAGTCCTGCTAGCTCCAGGCGGACAAAGCTCCCCAACCCTGCCTAGGGCAGGAGCAAGGCACCTCCTGGCCTCCTGTCTTGTTGAGACACAGGCAGGGCAGCAGACGCCGAGTACTGGGGCTTTCGTGCAGGCCCTGGGAATGCCACAGCTAAGAAAGCTCCTGCCTAAGAGGCCCAGGAGGGGGCATGAGTAACCACATGGACTATGCCTGGGGACGGGATATCACTGTCAACCTAACAGTCCCCTCTTGGTGTGGGGCACCCAAGGTGGCTTTAGGAAGCCTTGCTGGGACCAAGTCCTACCAGGTGAACCTGTGAGTTCCCCAGGGTCCTGGCCAGCACACTGACCCTGACCTCAAATGCCAGCGCGGAATCAAGACGAGCATCAGCCCACAGAGGTCATGCCCACCACCGAACACCAGGCTGGCCTGCCAGCTCTCTACTATAACTAAAAGTAAAGTGATTTTATAAAATTTCACACATGCTGAAGCTTAAAGAAAGCCAGCCTCATCTGGAAGGAGGGTCTTGGCGCCCCTCATCTTGGGGGAGACGTGGGAGGGCAGATGCAGGACAGCACTCACCCTCTCCTCTGCCAGCCTCTTCATCTCCTCCTGCAGCTTGCTCAGGATGTGCAGGTTGGGCTTGTTCTTCTTGGCGTACTGCTGCAGCTCGATCACGCTCTTGTCCGAGGTCTCCTGGGGACACAGGGCCTCGCTCTCAGGACTGCCTGGCAGGCACACAGCAGCCAGGAGATGTGGCCACCCGCTACACACTGGCTGCCTATCCTTGCCGGTGCCTGGGCTGCTTTCTGGCCACACCACCCCGCTTCTGCCTCCTCCTGCCTGGCAGGACAGGGAGGCTGGGTGCTCACTGGAGCCCAAGAACCCATCAAGTAGAGAGATGAGCACATGGCCACAGCCAGCAGGGACAGCATGCTGGCCCCAGGCACTGAGCTCTCCGTGCATCCCACAGCTTACATGGCCAACAAGCTATCCTTGGCCCCTTCCTGTCTTCAGAGGCCATCCATGAGGGTGCCTGTTGTGACCTGGGATGCCAGAGCTGCCCTATGCTGGGCTGTGCCAGGCTGGGACTCCTCTCTTCCAGCTTAGAGCGGTTCCCCCCACAGGCCAAAGCAAGGCTTGCTCTCTCCCAGTCTGCGCCTAGGACTGTGCGCAGCAAAGGCAGAAGCAAGCTTTACCTACATTTTAACTCCTTGCCCAAAAGCGTCATCCTTCACACAGCTTGGTGGCCTATGTGGCCTCACCCTGCCTTGTCATGCCCATAGCAAGGGCCCCTTCACGGTCCCAGGGGACCTGAAGATGGTGCTGCGCTCTCCCGTGGCACAGTCCTCAGGTCACCCCACCTGTAGCACGCTCCCCTCATACCTACTGTCCCTCCACCAAGCGGGACGCAGATAACCCAGTTTCCGTAAACATAGGGAAAAATGAAGAACGTGAGCACTCACCTCCCAGTGCTTCCCTCTACCCCTTGGGTGCAGGCATCGGCTTACACATCCGAGATCAGGGCCACAACAACAGAAACAAGACAGATGGCGCACACGCTCTTCCAGTAAAGGCAGCCAACGGAGAGCTGCACTGATATGTTCAGTCTCCTTCAAGTCACTGGGCGTCAACTAAGCCCAAGGGTGTGCTGCCCAGGGAGGGCCGGGGGCCTGGCTCTTGAGCCTTCATGCCCCTCAGAGCCAGCGCACCACCAGAGTCTCCTGCCTGGCCCTGCCTTGCACTCCAGCCACCTTGTCACCAGCCACAGGGCTGGGCCCAGGCAGTGCCTGATCACTCACACTGCACTGACCACTCCCAGCAGGTTCAGACAACCCCACATCCCCTGCCCACAAATTCACGGACATGGCATAAGAGAGGCAGCCATGAGCTAGGGCAGAGCTGCCACACTCTGCCCCTCTGACAGCAGAGCCCAAGACACAAGCTTCAGGGTGGGAGGAGAAGCAGAGGCTGTCCTAGGACCCGAGGGGGCCACTTACCTGCTTGACCATCTTGCTGCTCTCGCGGCCATACATGCGCAGTAAAGACCCCCAGTTCTTGACATGTGGGTGCAGCAGCTGAAGGATTTTCTGAGAGGCTAACTGTTTTCCAACTCTCTTGTTTTTACCTACAAAGAGAAAGCAAACATGGAGAGAGTTGCCACGAGCATCCTGCGTTCACACAGCCACCTCGCCTCTACAGGAGCCCCTGCTGTTCCCAGCCTCACCAACCCAGCACCCTGAGGGCCAGCGGGGCACACTGTGCCACTGCTCTGGGCACCCGTGTCTCATGGCACCCAGCCGCCACCTTGCGATGGCCATCTGCGGCTCTAGGAAGTGAGGGCACGCACCCAAAGCCACGCAGCTAAGCAGCCTGCCTCTCTTCCCAGCCTTACACTCCAGACACAGAGAAGCAGCAATGTTCTGCTGGCTGTTCTGGGAGGAAGAACACTCCTCCTGCCATAGGGACAGGGCTGGACAGAGACTGAGGTGGCAGGAGGGTACAGGAAGAAGATAGGAGATACAGGCAGGATGGCCTCCAGCCCCGCCTTGGGCTGAATGTGTGGCAGCTAACACACAGCTGGGGCTTGAGAAGCACAAGGCCACACCAAGGGCCACTAGCCCAATGCCACCCGCCAGGGTCCTCGGGAAGCAGTGGAGAAGGGTCCTTACACCACCCGCGAACTGTGTGCTTGCCACACGCCATGACATATTCACTCTTCTGGTTTTTACCAGGAACCACTTCAAACTTGATGGATGTGTCACCCATTCCATGGTTTCTTTAACAGAAAACAAAGAGCAGGCAGTGTCAACTGAAGAGGAGTGGGGGCTGCTTTGGGAAAGCCCTTCAAGGCTCTCTGAAGAAAAGGCCAGGCCTCTCCCCACACTGCGTCTCGTCTCGGCTGGAGAGGAGGAATCCCTGACACTCCTGACCCAACCCCACGGGCTCTGACGGAGCGCCGGGGCTGAGGGGCTTCTGTGTACCCAGGGAAAACTGGCAATGCCTCCGCCCTGGGACAAACGGCCACCGAGGACATGGGATGCCAGACAGGGGCTCACCCAACCTGACCCCGCGGGCGCCTACCTTTTAAGGCACTCGTGGAGGATCTGATATGGAGACAACAGCCCGGCCTTGCTGGTCAGCTCATAAACTCGCGAGTCTTCAATACTAATGTGGTTAAAATACTACAACACAAAGCAGACGCCTGTGAGTCCCCACCAGGCCCACCAGCCTCTCGGAGCTGGCTTCCCCCAGACACTCAGTGCTGTTTCCTATGACATCCCCTAAGCATGACACCCCACCGCCCTGCAAGAGACCAACTGGGCACAGACAACGTTCTGTACCTCCCTGTCCACTGCATCACCCTGCTCCCCCGAGCACAGTGGGATGGAGTCTGGTGCCCATGGGGGCCCTGGGCCCACGGCTGGCTAGGGCCACCTCTTCTGAGTCTCACTCTGATCAACAAGGCACAATTCTTCAGAAATCTAAAGACAAACCACTCTCGGAGAGAACCTCTACAGTCATAATTACTATGAGAGAGACGATAAGCCAGACACAAAAGCTGGACTTTAAAAAGGCCCGGCAAGCTCCCCGAGGGCCAGAGCCCCACGCGGCCACACAGAGGCCCACCAGGCCGGGCTGGCAGGGCCTGGCACGGCTGTTTCCAATGGTGTCTTCACCCCGGCTCTGCGGCCAATCACTCTGACCAGAGAACAGAGGGGCAAGAAAGGGCGATACTGAAGCAAGTTAACCAAGTCACACGTGCGGAAGACAAAGGGGAAATTCTGCGCGGCAAGGCCAGGGGAAGCTGGACAGGAGCGAGGTGGCCAAGGGGTGCGTGAGGTGGAGCCATAGGGATGGGCCGCCCAAGCTCGCCTTCTCTGACAGTCTCTGGCCAAAGGCTGAAGCAGAGACCCCGCCTGGGTGAAAGGAAGATGCCATCCAGCCCACTCTGGAGAACAGACCACCTCCCTGGCAGGGCTGCCGTCAAGTCCCACAGACTGGCCTCTGAACAACAGAGGTTTGTTTTCTCAGTTGTGAAGGCCACAAGTCTGGAGTCAAGGTGTCGGCAAGGCTGTACTCCCTCAGAAACCTCTAGGGTGATAAAAGTAATTAGCAGGACATACATGCCCTGGAGTCCCAGCCACTTGGGGTGCCGAGGTGGGAGGATCACTTGAGGCCAGGAGTTCAAGACTAGCCTGGGCAACACAGCAAGACTCTGTCTCTAACAACAACAAAAAAATTAGAAGAAGCCTCTAGGGGAGGATCCTTCCTCACCTCTCCCATCTCCTGACGACACCAGTCAGCCCTGGCTTACGGCAGCAACCCTCTGCTCTCCACGTGGCCTGTTCCCCCGTCTCTTCCCTGCTGGGAGGTAGCTAAGCTCCCAGCAAAAAACCGGGTCCCTTTGGTAGAGTTGCAAGGGATAAGAAAATAATAGAAAAATGGAAAATAATTGGAAATAAAAGAATACACAGAGACAAAGGTATAGTTATATAAATTTATAAAGATTATAGGCAAAGTGGGATCTCAGGGGGCCTAGATTTCTCCATGAATCTCAAAAGCCACGAATGAAGTCTTACATGGTAACTTATAGGGAACAGTGATTAGTTGCCAGGGGTAACAGATTTACATAACAGCAGGTAGTTCCTCTTAGGTTAACAGATTTTCAAAAGGCTTCTACAGATCCCTTAACTAATTCTATCTACGTGAACAAATGGTTA